TCTCTCTCTCTCTCTCCCTCTCCCCCGGGTATCAGGGACGCCCGGGCTTCAAGTCCACCGAATTGTTTTCGGGTTTAGGGGAGTGAAAACTGAGAAATCTGCGATGGCAGGGGCTGCAGCCATCAAGTATACGATGACGACCTCTTGGTAGTTTCCTCTCCTGATCTCTCTTGGACATCGCTCTTATCTCTGTGCAGGGAAAGACGACTTGGAGAGCTAAATACAACCAAAATAAGGACATAGCCATCGCCCCCTGCGAGATACCGAGCTGTCACAGCTTTACAAATTAGTACAAGTTACGCCCCATGTTTATAGATCGACATGCACCGGGCTTCTGGGGCAATCCATGAGGCTTAACGGAACAAGAGCTCAAATCCACCGTCTGCCAATGTCTGCCATATCCCCCGACTGAGTAGCTCTCACATGTTGGGATGAAGTGTCGTGCACACTTCCGGATTCCGGGAAGATCCTATGACGAGGGGTCACATCAAATTCGAAGTGGGAAGGACCTCACCGGATGCAGCAAGTCAGCTTGCAATACCCTTGCGCAGACATTGGATCGAGTTCGTCCATCTAGCACTCCCCACAACACCTTGAAACCACTGCGCCTACCAACGCGCCCCATAGCACCGTACAGTTTCCGCCTATGGACAAACTTTCAAAAAGCCTGAATGCAGGAATGGCACCCTTTGCCTACACGGCAGATGTGTAGCAAACTCATCGGTCTCCCGCCATCCGTCCCTCCCTGGGCAGCCTGCGACGACGACAAGTTCGCTTGTGTCCGGAGCAACTCCGCAGCCTTAGTGCTAACAGGCTTCGGGTTGAGTGTGCTTGGTGTGACCACGCCAAAGTGTTCGCCGTGAGGTGGCATATCGTTAGCATCACGGGCAAACATGGCCCACCTCGTCGTCAGCTATTTCAATCTGCATGCTTATTGCTCTCAGGATCTCCTGGGTGCTCCGTTCTGTGCTGCCTAGGTGCGGCGGACTGCGCCGCCGATTGTGCAACCGCCAGCGCATGCTTCGTCAAGTTCCGCCTGTGCTCAAATGGCACCTGGCCTGGCCTTCCTTTCCCAACTGTCGACTCCATGGGAGCTAATGTCGAGAGGAAACATGGGTAATCGGAAGCTCTTACAGTAGCATAAGCGCGTTTGGATCCAGGAAGAGAGAACGACCGAAAAGATCCAGCGGCCTCGCGATGGCATTCTCGATCTCCGAGGAAAGCTCAGCATGTGACGATATGATCTCGGACCTTGACATCGACATCAGACCAAGATGGGCCAAGGTGTGCCCCAAACACTTGCACGCTCGGAGTTGTAGCTTGACCACAAACATGTCCGAATAAATGTTCATAGGGGCTACGCAAACACTTGGGTGGACTTCTTCGTGTCACATGCTGATTTGTACATGTTACGGCTTCCCGAGTTGGTCTGTCAATCTCTGATGTATGCAGTCATGTTATTTTGGGAGGGCTTTCTGATGTGAAAGACAACCCAACCGTCACAGCCTGCTAATCTGGCACTCGACTCTCCCACCTGTGGAGGAAGTATCCTAATGTCCACAAACCTAATCCCCGCATTCCGGACTCGCTCATGCTTTGCTACACCTTAAATCCCCACCCCCGCAAAAGACAGCCCAC